TAACCTAAAGCAATACAGTACGGATTAACACCACAATGAATTTACTGATCATACTACTGGCTTTATGATTAGCACATACAGTTTTCACCCCAACACGATCCATCTCCCCTTCCTCATCAATCAGTCGGTCAGATTGTTCTGACGGCTGCTGCTGCCACCGCTGCCTCTAGCAGCAGCTTTCCACACCCAGTGATATTGCCCTGCCACACCCATTTTCTTCCACTGTAATACCACATGTCACTCACCCAATGATGTATTTCTCAGGAATTATTGATAAACATAAATTATTAAATATTTTGCTAAATAAAACTCCATTAAAATGGTTTATATTATGTATTTTTATTATCTGATCTAACATTACAAGAATTTTATAAAATTTCAAATATTTCTCTGTGTGAAGTTTAAATGCACTATGTTAAAAAAAAGCAGTGATGTGCCCTTGAAAATGATTCTGCACTTTATATTCTTAACTGTTTTTCCTTTTGAAAGGAAAGGATGTTTGCGCTGCTGCCACTGCATCTCATGAAAAATGGATGACCTCCCAATGCTTTCTGCTGCCCATCGCTCCCCATATTTGCACAGAGCCCAGGGACTGCATTTGGGTTAGCATCCTCCTCCCGCCCTCCCTTCGTGTCTTGTTCTGGGGGTGAATAACTTAACACATATTTCAGCTTGACACACTTCTGCTTTGGGTCTCCCCTGGGTGCCCAGTTCATGAGCCCACACATGCTGTATTATTTAAAAGTGTGGTTTGGAGTTATGTGTGTGTGGATGTGGGTGTGATCTCCTGTTTGTGTAAGGGGGAATGCCTTATGGAGTTGTTGGGCTTTTCTCTATGACCTTGTAGGTGTGGCATCTGATACCAGATGATGTCTGAGCTCTAGCCAGAGACAACATAAGTATGTCAGCCTTGTTATGATCCTATCCTATTTTTTTGGCTGTTCTGTGCTTTGTTTTTGTCTATTAGAAAAAAAGAGAAAATGCTTTCACAAGCAGTACAATACTTAATATAATACAATACTGTATCACAACAGAAAGGTTGAAACTGCAAAAAGATTTATCACAGGAAATAATAAAGTGGGATATTTATCATACACCCAAGAATAAAAATCTGCCAGAGCCACAAAAAAAGAAAGAAAAAAAAGAAAAAAGCCCAAGGAGGATGACAAAAGTAACACAACTTAATGATGCTAAACAGCAAACTGGTTCTGAACATTGGAATGAAATCAGCTTTGAGGTCAAGACTATGCTCACATAAGCAGACACACAATAACTCAAGCTAATGTGAGAGCCGATAACGTCATGGAAATTAGAGTGTTGTGGTGCAGCATAAATCATGTGCAAGGGAGAGGATGCAAAATGCTGCAGTTTGTATGATGGATACAAATAGCCGTCTGATGTCTGGAAAGCTCTTGTATAAATACACGTCTTTGTGTTGCATGGGATACTTCCCCAGAAACTGCAGTACGATTAATATTTTCTGTTGCAAAATGACTCAAAGTCAACCTCTAAAGAAGCTGGCCACTTTGCTGTTTCACTTTTACCATCTGAAAATTAAATTTACGTTTTCTAATCAAAATCAAAATATTTTTAAAAATAATCAACTGAAGATCTTTTCATCCAAAGCTTTTGCAGCATCCTGCATCTGTGGACTGCACATGAATACAATGATCATACCTCAAGCATGAAACACAGGGGTCTGACCATGCAGGTGCCATGGCCACTGGAGGGCACTGTGAGAGGCACTGAGCCTGGGTGGCTGAGGAAGCAAGGTTGAAAGACACCTTGGCCAGCTCACCAGATGGGCTCAGTGAAGCATGTCAGATGGCTGTGACAGCTACCTGCCCTTCCTTAAGGACTGTCACTGTGTATAAACAAACCATTACTCTAATTTGTTAGTGCACTGCCTTATGTGGGCACGAAATGTGGGTGTATGTACAAGGGCATGATTGCGTTGAACCCACACGAATTAACATATCTGAAGAGTTGCCCCTACAATGTCTAGCCCAGTCTAAGAAAACATTCATTTTTTTCTTTATAAGGTATTTGAATTAACCTCTTAAACATAAGTAAGTACAAAGCATAGCTTGTAAATGCATACTGTATAGCCTAACATTATTAAAATTTACAGAACTTTATTTATTAAAGTTTCCAGAAATGTCTAGCAGAATTTTGGGGGAATGGATTTATTGATGCACAAAATATCTGTAATATTTGAATTTCATGGAATTGTGCTGCCATAAAAACATGCAGTTGATGCTTTGGCAATTTTTCTCATTTTAAACTTATATAGCTTCAATGTAGAGATCGAACAAGCTGATTGAACGTATATGTGTAGCAGCCTGTAAGATTCAATGTCCTCCTACCTAAGGGCTAAACGAAAGGCTATGTTAAGAGGTTAAATGTTATAATTAACTGTTAAATACCTAAAATGCTCCCAATGGAAACACCAGTGAAGAGGACCATCTCCACATCTCTGTGTGTGGATAAGATGGAGAACCCTGAAGGCCTCATTAATGTGCAGCAGAACGCGTCGTCGGATGCTGCGCCTCCGCTCATCGCTGCCCCCACTGCGCAGCCGCAGTTTCTCCAGGACGCAGAGAGCCGAGGTTGGAGACAGAAAAATGGCCCTCGATAATTTAATTTTCGCCCAGTGCATCCTTTATTTTTTAGCCTTCGTATTCGGTTTCATCGCCGTGGTTCCTCTGTCCGAAAACACGGAGGATTTCGGGGGGAAATGCCTGCTCTTCACGCGGGGTATGTGGCAAAATGAGAACATCACTGTGTCGAAGCAGCGCTTCATCGTGGAGGAGTGGGGACCCGAGTCCGCCTGCAGCTTCATCACTTTTGTCGGGATAGCGTCCCTCATCCTGTCCGCAGTGCAGGCATGGAGGCTTCTGTTCTTTCTGTGCAAAGGGCACGACGAGTGAGTGACATTTCACAAGTGTTCGTTCAACACAATACAATAGCAGCACTATGAAAAGCTCAGTAGGACAGGCTCAGGTACACCAGTAAATGTAAATATGTTTTTTTCTGTCCATCCCCCACTCTCTTATATGCGCGCTATTGTGGCAGAATCATATACACTGCATGCTATGGTCATAAACGCCATAGAATGAGCCTATAAAAAGACTAATCACTGCCGTCCTCCATTATAAAGATGGAGGGGAAACACTGGTGAGCCTTTGAAAAATCAAAGTCATACTGTGCCTCACATGCAGTATTTCCAACCTGTGTCATGTAGCTATAACTGAAAGACACCATTCACCACAGAAAGCCAAATCATACAGTGTTTCAGTTTTACAGGCTTATGTTCCCAGAGAAACGACTGGAATGTATGTAAACATTTGGCAGAAACTGCACAGCTTTTATCCTCTTCAATGTCTGCTCTACCTGTCTGCAGCTCCGTCTTCAACGCCTTCCTCAACCTGCTGATCAGCTCTCTGGTGGTGTTCACAATCTTCCTGTCCAGCACCATAGTCAGTGTGGGTTTCAACATGTGGTGTGACTCCATCACTGAGAGTGGGACCATGCCCAGCAGGTGAGCGAGCAACACACACATTAAACTTTTCAGACACTTTCCTTATACAGCGCAGCAGGCCCTCCTGAATACCAGCTTATGTCTGTCATGTTTTAGCTGCGAGGACCTGCAGGACACTGATCTAGAACTTGGCCTGGACAACTCTGCTTTCTATGACCAGTTTGCTATAGCTCAGGTGAGACTGTTTGTTGGTAATATCATCCAGACAGTTTAACAAAATCCTGAATCTCAGTCATATTTACAATAATGTCCCACCTGCAGTTTGGCCTGTGGGCTGCATGGCTTACCTGGCTTGGGATCGCAGTGATGGCCTTCCTGAAGGTCTACCACAACTACAGACAAGAGGACCTGCTGGACAGCCTGATCCATGAAAAGGAGCTTTTGCTCAGCCGCCCCTCACGTCACAACTCTGACCTCAAGACCGGCCTGATCTAGAAACCAGAGGACGTACAAACACACACACTCACACTCAACGGTACAGTCCTCTCACCTGCCATGAGCAACACCAATGTTTGCCTATGTAGACAATCGAAATTATTTGGCTTTTGCTCCCATTGATTATGGATTTAATCAAACTGAAAGTTTTTAGCTTTGTTCTCCAAAGGTAATTGATAGTTTATTCATCCACAGTGTGCACTCCTCTTCAGGACACACAACCACAGCTCAGCTCTGATAGTATTAAAATCCTTTAACGGAAATGTACATCCAGTTTTTCTCAACTCATGAATTTCTATTTAGCAACACAGTATTAACGGCTTGGACAGACTGGATCATGTTGTCTTTGTGAAACTTCTGCATGGACCTAATGCATGACAAATGAATAGGGTGGTGGGTTTTAGATGTAAAGGGGTGTTTTTTTGTTTCATACACCAATAAATGTGTTCCTAAAGTAGGCTTCTTTCTGGTAGGATGCGCACTACTTGATGAAGTGAGAATTCTTTGCATGCTGCAACAAAGCAAGGTGATGTGTGCTTTTGCAGTGTATTCACACTTTTATCAACAGTTACAAAAGGTGTTTTATAACAATGACAAATTGTAGTTCAGAGTATTCACATATGAGGCAGCCAGTCTAAAAATGCTTTTAGCAATCTGTGTGAGACAAAAAAGCAAACAAATCTTATTTTGTGCCATATACAGTAGTAACTCAGGCTTCTTCTTTATAGGCTACAAACCAATATACTGTGTTACTGTGAACAGACGCACAAATGTACCTGCATGCATATCTCTCCCTGTTGCACACACATCGCACACTCACTTGCGGTCAGAGATTACAGGACGAAAGCAAATCATCTGCTTGACTTTGATAGGCAATGACAGTTTTATTCAAAACAACAGAAATCATAAAACGGTAGGAACAAAGAAAACCCTTCATAAAGGCACTTCTTTCAAAGTGACCATAAATGTTTGCACAGCCGTGAAATGCAGCTTCTAACCTAAATGTGTATAAACAGGACATGAGTTCACTGGGTATTGTTTTATTGCTAATGACAATTTAGTTTGACAGTACAGAGTCGAGAGTATTCCTTTCTTCTATAGAGGCGTTATTAGCCTTATATTGCTTTGACATTTATATGTGAAACCTCCAAAATCCAACGCTTTCCTTTTGAGTTCCCTGAAACCTGTTATATAAAGAACAATGTTTTACTGCAAACTATGTGATGTGTGTTATTGCTCATAATGAGGTGTGTGGGTGCGGTGGTTTGGCTGTTTGAATTTTATTTTCTTCATTTGATAAAGGGACTGACATATGAGTATCTGATTCTGCTATATTTCTGTGTTTGGCCTCATATTAATAGTAATGATGTTGATATAGGGAGTACATCTGTTTTTTTTGTTTTTTTTTAACAGATTGCAAATACTTATTGAGCCACACCCATCCATACATTTGTCCAAAGTTTGATGAGCATTTGACATCATGATTAAAACCTGAATATTATTATTTTAAATAGAAATGTACCAGGTAACAAAAAGTAAAAAAAACTTAAACTAATTGAAAGTTGGATAATTGCGTAGATGCAGATATACAATATAGAAGAATAATAACATTTAGGATCAAGGATATTTTGTGGGATTCAAGCGATTATAAAGAGGAACAGTGTCAAAAGCATTAGCATTCATTCAGTTTGAGTATATTCTCTTCAGCAATAGATAAGGAGAGAGAACATTGTGCTGCAGATTTCCTACTCAGTGGAGCTGGGAATCAGCTGAAGACAGTCTGTGAAGAAAGAGGTGTTTTTCATCTGTTAAGTCATTCAACCTGGCACTGTGAAGTGTTGCAGCCCTGTGTTTTCTATCTCGCGGATCATTTTCGAACAGTTTACACATTTGTGCTTCCATCCTCCTCCTCTCAAATGTGCCCCGTGCCAAGGGAAAGGTGTTTCCAAACATCTCTACATTCATTTATGTGCAATTACAAGGCGTAATATTGTGATAGTCCTTAGTATATTGAACCATATATACACATTCAGTTCTGTGTAATATCTGATATACACAAATCATGTAAGGTAACAAAATAAATATTTGCATTCCATGGAAACATTCACTCACATACATTAGACTATGACATGAACTTAAAAATCATGGTTGTGTTGATTAAGTTAGCGTATCTGTGAGCATCAACATTGCAGATGTGCAAAATCATCTTAGATAAGGAATGGCATGCCCACCATCTTAGTACATATATACATACAGACATGGAAGCTACATATTTCTGGGATTACATATTTTTCCCTTTTTCATTGCAAGAGTGGTTTAACACCACAGACAGTGTACAGAGAGTGCCAAATGGCTGAGGTGTTTGTAGGCCTGGGCTCCTTCAGAGATAGGAAAAAAAGAAGGGTCTGAAAAAAAACAAAGGCGGCTCCATGTCTCCACCTGTGGTCAGTCTCAGTCACTGCATGGTCAGCCATATCCAGCAGCCCCACAGAAGCTGTTTCATATGCAGCAGGTACACAGCCAAAGCGGCCTCCAGCTCCTCGCACACTCGCTGTGGGCGTCGGCGATCTGTGCAGTACATGGCCACACCCAGGAATGACATTAGCAGGAAGAGGCAAGTGAACAGGGCGAGGTGGGGGCGGGGCGGGGTCGTCTCATACGCTACAAACATAAAAACCAAGACCAGTTTTTCACAATTTTGGTTTGTAAATGAGTATTTTAATTGTCACATGCATGGGCCTCTCTCTTTCTCTCTCTCTTTCCTCTTGAGTCAGCAGAGTCAAGACCTCAACAGGCAAGTTTTTAAATTGAGGATTTCATGTGGCAGCGGAGCGTTATTACACAAACTGTGCTTACTGTGTTTCAAACGTAATTCAAAGAAGGGTGACAGTGAAAGGCTTAACTCCATTTTGCATTGCAGGCAACAAAGTTAATGGAAAGTGACATTTAATTGACATGATTTACCTAATTAACCTAAATCTCTTTTCTTGCTGCTTTCCCCACACATTTTTACATCCAGCAGACTGTGTTTTAATAAAGTGTAGTAGTGTTGCCACTTTCTCATGCACATTACCATAGTGATTCTGAACACTTTATGACAGACTTACCACCTAAACAGTCACAGTAAGGAATGTCTGTGAAGCAGACAGAAAAGAGGCCAGTCAGTCAACAAGAGCCAACCTCTGTGATGTACAGCAGCCACAGACCCGCTGATGTGCCCTCATATAGACTCCACTATCTCTCTGGAACAGACTCCACGGTGCCTCATTTGCATGCATAATTAACTAAAAAAAAAGCAAATCACTTGCTCATTGTAGATTTAGTTTCCTCTGAATGTCTTCAGTGCAAAATGTTGTGCTGTATTGTGTATAGTGCTGTACTACCAGGATCTATAAAAGCATATGTTTCCACATATCTCTCACTCTTCCTAGACTTCAGCTTAACTGGTACAACAGCGAGCACACATTCCTCTTCTCCAGCCCCAGTGTTTTCACATGACTCTTGACCCAACGACACATAGGCACAAGAAACTACATCGTTCTCAGTGTTGTTTTTTTCCTTCTTTTCTGAACCACTGTTATCTTCTTTTTTGACATGAAGTATGTCTGGATGAGACTGGGAACAAATCTGACACTTGAGAGGAGCATTACGAGTATGAATATGGCTCCTACACTCATGTTTGGAGGTCTCTCTGCATTAAATTATTTTGAAATTGTAGAGAATTCCCGAAGGACAATAGTGTACGATGCAATCGCAGGATGTTTTAATGCATATTGTTTTTTCTCTTTACTGCTGAGTGCAAGGCATACACTGCTGTTACATATGGGTTCAAGGCCCCAATGTAAGCTGGGATGGAACCAATTTTAAATAAACAATCAAAATTACATTAATATTGTTACTATATGCATGCATTCCCTTATTAATGCCTCTGTAAACTCTGCTGACATGGACAGCCTGTCGAAACTATGGGTGATATGAAGTCACTGGATTAGTTTGGTCCAGACGTTAAAGCACCAGAGGGCAGTATGTTCTCTCTTGTTGTAGAAACACATCTGACTGTCTGTGACTGAACAGGCTGGGCTTGTTGCAAACTGTTAACCCGTCTGTCGTCTCACCATGTACTGTGGTCTCTGGCTCCCTGAATCGAACCCTCCGTTCGCCTTTCCGTCTGTGGTTGAGTTCTGTGTCTGACCCATAGTTGGGACTTGGCCTCTTCAGAATGGAGGTGGGGACTTTGCCATTGGTCACCTGCATTAGATACAGCTCTGTAGTAGATAAGTATATCCATGACAAGCTCCAAAAAAATTTCAAATACAAAACAAATAAACAAACACCTGGAAGGCAACAATGTTTTGCAAACAAACTGCTCATATCTAGGGGAACACTGCTGAAGATCCCTGCAAGGGTTGTTAACACTACCTTATGTTTCGGTGTGTCCTCCTGTTGGTGGTGGGTGTCCTTTCTGTGTCTGACCTCTGAGTGTTTCTCCCGGTGGGAATGAGGAATACAGTTGACGGTGTCTCTGATGGACTCTGCAGCAGCGAAGCGTTTGGACAGTGCAGACACACACTGACCCAGGGAGTCTAGGAAGAGAACCATGACCATACATAAGTAGTGAGCTAGAGCTGCTTCGTACTGGAGTCTGCAGTCTGCTCTGAAGACAGACAACGAGGTGAAGCTAAACATACAAAGTTAAACATGCAAATGTGTCGTAGAAAAGATGCTATGCAGGTAGAGTACAGCTTAGTAGGTTCAAGTTACAACTCACTTGTTTTTTCCCCACTATGTTTACATTAACATATTTACCATTCCAGGACCTCAAAAAGGTTCTGGTTATACTCAAATTAAATTTTACTTGATCTCAACACAGTTTCTTTACCAAAGAGATAAAAATGAGCCTCAGTCTGGTTGCTCCTTCATTTATATTGTGAGGGCTAAGTAGTTAAATGTGCCTCTATTGAAGCCTTTTACAGTGGGTCAAAGAGGGATTTCTCTGTGTACAATACAAACTAAAAGGTCGCACAAATTGCGCAGAGACTGCTTTGTGTTCTGATCTGCAACAACTACAACTGCTCTCTGGCCCTGCTCGTTTTTCATTTCTTCATCAAACATGTTTAAGACCATGTGAGGTGAAATTCAGGGAGTGTTGTAAATCTTTGTCTTTATATGCTGTACACTCCTGTCTTTGTGCAGCTGGCCCTGTTCAGCACCACTGCCTCTGAAAGCTGACTCGACAACAAGGCTGGTTTCTACGTACTGCTTTTAACACCACAGCAGTCTTCTTAAAATTGCAGAGTTCAGAATATGGCAGAGAATTTTTCTCCCTTTTTAATGCAAGCCAAGCGTACATACTGTACACCACAACTGTGCCCTCAAACTGTCACAAAGCTCCTTCTCTTTTTCGCTCTGCATAAAACCACTCATGTCCAACATGACTGCAAGTGTTTATTAATTTAACATTTTCATCGGTTGACATGATTCAAAGGCTAACTGAACTGCTTTAAACCATATCCTCACTATGCTGTGTGCTCTTTAAAGCACAGAGTCGATAACTTGTTCTTGAGATTAACATCGCTGTTCTGTTACTGTCATGCCTCCCAAGACAGCAAGGTCTCCGCCCTTAAATGTTAACAGTGTTAAATTATATACTGCTGAGAGAGATGTCCTCCGCATGTTTGTTTTTCACTGTGTATTAATCTTCATAGAGTAAGTAAGTAACATCAGCATGGCAGTAGTGTTGCCACTCTGTAGCATTCATCCCAGGTAAGTGTTTACCTGAATATTCAGTCTTGCCAATCTCAGCATAGACGGTGGCCATAAGCTCCAGGCTTCTGGCTGTAATGGGGTGGTCATTACCAAAGGCCCTCTGGTGGATCTTTGTAGCCTGAAAGATGAATTATCAGACAGGGGGATTTGAAGTTGACATAAGAGTGGTATAAAATGTTTGAATCGTTTCAAAAACTAGAGAGGAAGCAAAGATAATGATGAAATTGACATACCTTACCGCTGTATTCTAGAGCAAGATGAGGTCTGAAAGGAAAAGGAAAGGCAGGATTAAACAAATGCTACCTCTACGGATTTCTGTAGTACTGGAGTAAAATTTTTATAACTGCTGAAAACAAAAGCAGACACTTTCAGATGAAATCTACCTATGCACATTCTTCATTTATTTAAACACAAATGTTTTTAAAGACAACAATGCCTGACCTTAATCAAATGTAATAGCTCATGCTGCATTGTCACGTAAGCGTATCTGTTTCAGTGTTTAAAGCACAGCAGCATGAGAAATCTAAACAAGCGTGTACTGTGATTAGACACGGAGAGCAGGGCTACAGGTGCTCAGGCGCCTTATGGAGGAAGTGGAAACCTTCTATTTCTGCCAGCACTGACTGCCCCTTTCTATTTTCCAGGGTGGATTACAGAAGGCATGGTGCTTACAGGTTGGTTTACTGACTTGTGCCTGACCTTCCACCACTCTTCTGCTTAGTACTAAGCTAGGTGAACATGATGTGGTACATTGAGGATCTGCCAGCTGTTCGGCTCATATCTGCCTTGGAAAGTCAGCCAAGGATATTAATGACCCTCACACCCTCACATGTGCCTATAGATGTAGAGCAAGCTCTGTTTAGTGTGACAGATGTCAGCTTTGCTGTTCAAAACCCACACTTCCCTTCAATTAGTAATGGCCAGGTGTCAGTTTGCACTGCTTCAGAAGGTCCTTTTTAGGGGACATCTGATCTGCAAAGACAGAAAAGTGTTCACCGGCCCAAAGGGCTTCCTGCGACATTACTGAAAGATTCAGGAAGTATTACAACTTCCTGTCGACAAGAAATAAAAACTGAGGGTTTAGGCTTATGGTGGAGGTCTGCAAGAAAGATCAAAGAGCAGAAGCAAATACCTGCTTAGCCAGAAACCCAAGCCTCCGGGTACAGTCATGCACAATCAGTACCATCTCATTTAAGTTTAACTACTGTATGCTCCTTGCATTAATGAAGCACTGTGATCAGCCCTCCGCCGAGCAAACCTTCCACCCCGTCACCCTCTCTGGCAATCAGGTTAAATGGCCTAATCCCAACAATGACAACAGAGGCACAGAAAATGGGTGCATGCTATGGCCTAACAAAGTACCCCTGCAACAGGAGACACCAGATCCAGTTAAGGTTTTCCTCCTGTAACACTCACGTAGAGTGCGGTGTCTCTTTTCTCCACATCTACAGGAAATTCAATTCTAGTGAAAAAGAGTTGGATCTGGAGTTTATCTAGTTCCAAAAATTTCCATTCCAGAAAGACAAATGTGTGAACGTGCTAGTGTACATGGGTATGCATACATTTCTAATTTAATTAAGTAAAAAACTAAGAGCATCAATGTTTTTTTATCTCAGGATAATTTCAGTTTGATTTTATAAGCTAAGCCGAGGGTTTTGCTTTACAGATGCTTTTTATTATACAACCGAACATGTAATGCCCCATTAATTACACCACAAAACAAGCTAAAGCAGGACACAGTTTTACCTACTGTTTGCTCATGATGCACAGCTGGGCCAGCCGTTCGAGGTGCTGTGCCTGGGAGGCCTGCTCTGAAAGCTCCTCTGGGGTTGTCCATCCTGCAGAGCCCAGCGTAGCCTCCTCCTGAGGCCCTGTTACACAAACACAGGGCATGGAATCACAGTCAGCTCACCAACAAACCGCTTAGTCTTTCCTTTTGCTCGTCTATCTATCCCTCCCTTCTCACTGTCCTGTGCTCTCTTTACCTCTCTACCACTGCACAGAGTTAAAAAAATAAAGCCGGAGTTTCTGGCTATCAGCCTGTCTGGCACTGCTGCGGACTTTAAGCCTGAGCGGCAGAGTTGAGCCAACTGAGGACTGGAGACACGAGAGCAGAGATAAGGGCAGGACAGAGCAGATAAGGGAGTCAAACAACGCACTCACCACGCCCCCGGAACACCGAAACACGTACACATGTACACAGTGACAAACCACAAACATACAGTGTTCGCTGTAAATACCTAACACACACACACACACACACACACACACACACACACACATAGTGTGGCTTGCAATCCATGCCACGAGCATGTGCAAATAAATCATTGTAACAGGTTAAGACTTTTGTTTGCATTACAAAAATCACAAAATGACAATTATGTTGGCTTTCAGTGGGGAAACACAGAGAAGGGTACATTTGAAAAAGACACTGGGGAGTGAATGAAAGCTTGTAAGCTGCAGCTACAGTACCAGCTCTGCCTCTGGAGAAGTCCAGCATTCAATCCAAGTGAGTGCTGAATCAGGGGCTTTTGTATTCGATAGCGACACGCATCTCCTAATGAGCAAAGTGTGGCCATTTGTCTTCTACCATGTCTGTCCCCGATCTCCTCTACTGTTCCCACGCTACACTGCGCTGCTGCCTCAGCAGCAGACAGAGAGTAGGAGGCAGACGTCTGGAGCAGCAGCAGGTGATGAATGAGTGGCTTTGCTGTGAATGCGCCCTTAAAGCTCCACCAGGTATATTGTAAACAAAGATGGACTTCAAATTGGCTTGATGAGTTAACAGAAGAGATTTTTAGGGTGTTACAGAGGCACACTGTATAATATCATTTGCAGGTCAGTTTGTAGATGCAGTTACTTTGGAGAGCTGCCTATTACAAACACAGTCTATAAGCCACTGAAAAGCTTCACTGTATCTAGTGCTTTGCTAACAGTCGCTATATTAAATGAACAATAAAATTTGATTCCACACAATTTTTTATCACCCTTCCCATTTCTCCACAGTTAAGCTTTGTTTAGCTTTGAAAGTTTTCATATGAATAATAACTTATTATAGGGAATATATATTATTGAATTATATACTGTACTTGCTTGTCCAGCTGACCTGATGTGCACAAACTAAAAGCAATTCATTGGAACCAAATGTATATGAAAGTATATGTATGAAGTATATGAAAGGAGCACTCTATTTTACCTAGAATTGATACCAAATGTCAGGAAACTTCCTAGGAAATTATTAGGCAAATAAAGCATTACCAAAAACATTCAAAGTCAAAGTAGATGACATTCCTTTTCTGCATAATATACTGTACATATTACATTAACATTTCATTAATAGCTTAAAGGTCAAAAGTACTTGCCTGTGCTCCCCTGAAGAGCCGTGAGCTCAATCAATGCCACTTCATAGAACATTTTTTCAGCCTGGATGAACTGGAGTGCCTTCCCATCTGTTTATGTGGGTGAAGGATCAGTCTCAGTTGTCACCAGGATTAGTCGAAGTTGAAGTTAAAAACAGCCTCGTTGCCCAGCTCAACACAGTTTTTTTGTTTTTTTCCCAGCTCTCTTAAGAATGACCCCTCCACGCAAACAGAATGTGTAGTAATCCTAAACAGATTGTTGATATTGAAGTCTGGCTTTTGCGATATACATAAACTATTGGTGTGTTGTTTTTGTGTTATCTATTGTTTGTGGTTTTTGTACTACATTTCGAATGGAGCAACTGTCACGCAAAACCAGGTTCAAATGCTGAATCTGACAGTGTAGCTGTCTCTGATTACACATTGTATAATCTCATATTATATCCCTATTCCACTGTCTGGTTTTAGCTTTAGTTGTTGTGCTTTGTACAGATTCCTTTTGATTGATCTGGGTGCCAGTTTTGTTTCCATGAAAAGACTCTATAAAAAGGATCCTAAAAATAGAGCCTATGAGGGTCTGTCCAACTGTAAAATGACACCACTGATGCTTGTCAGTTGAATTTAAAGACCAATGGGATGTAGAATGCTTAAAATAAATACAGCCTAGCCTGTCTAAACGTTCTACTTAACACCAGATCACTCATGTATAAAGTCCATTCTGGGTATTTCACTTTTCATCACTGTGGTGACACTACTTGCCAATTATACTTTAACATGTCTCAAATAAAACTAAATATCTACTATTTTTTATATATTTAGGTTGGGAAGATGGACACTAGGTTTCTACTTTTATAGAACACTGAAGTTTGTGGCTGAAAACCACAACAGCTAGTTTCCTTCAGTGTCACCATAAAGTCAGTACTGCACGACAGGCGAGCCACACATCAGATACACTACTGTTAAAATCCTATTGTACATTTCAAAAGGAAAGGGCAGTTACGAAACAGAATGATTAAGATTTTTCCTTCTGTTGAGCACCACAAGATACCAGAAAAGATGGTGGATGGTGAGGGGTGGTTGTTGAAAAGCTATTAGTAGATGTATATCTGAATAATTTAGTGTACAGTACAGTAAGAGACGACATGGCAGCATGTCATAAAAACCCAGCATTTTTAATAATAAAGTGCCTTGCAACTCACTGCAATAATTATTATTGCACACAATATCCCACATTTATTTGAATGTTTTGTAAAAATCTCTACAGCATGACTAGAGATGCCTATCTGCCCCAGGAGTCACCTGGCAGCGAGGGAATAAGGTGAGTATGAGGTGGACCATCTGGGAGGGAGGATTAGGGGAACCGCCATTACCAAAGGTCAGAGCACCGCTTCTGTCTGCTATTTTTAGCCTGGCTGGACCACAACAATGCCACAACAGCAACCTCACACAATCCTCTCCAGGGAACGTGTGCTCCACTTTACCCATCTACACACATACACACACAACTTCCCCTGAACTGGTAATTGGACTGCACTCCAAAACTCGACAAGAACTTGCATTAACACTGGCACTTTCAAAGGCACACCTGGTCACACGTGCCGCATAACTCTGTTAAGAGTGCACTGAAATAACCTCACAAAGTACACCATCTACTCTAGCCAGTAGGAATCTTGGATTTCCACTGGAATTATAAATCATCTGATCAAATGGGACTAATTGTGATACTACTATATTGATTAGACTGTGTTCTTAAGCCCCCTTTGACTATCTATTACTACTCTTTCTGCAATGCATATCCACTTTATAATATATGCCCAGATTTTTATCTAATATTCACTGTTATTTGAGATTACAGTCAATTCGACCTGGGTCAGCATACTTTCCAAAAAACACATATCAGCAAACACTTAGCAGCCAGCTTTGGACAAAGGTTACTTGTGGATACTGCCAGCACTGATAACAATACATCAAGCCTTAAGCGGTCGTGGCACTGCCACTATCAACTGCACCTACTACAGTATATTTGCCTGGAATAAAGCCAGTGTACCAGCACGATACCAAGATACTTTGCATATGTAAATTCAACTTTAACTCTAATCCTGGCTGGACCCATAGACAACGTGCTATATAGGAGACACCGCAAATTCTGTTGTTGTAAACATTTGTGTGAAACTCCAAAGTTCCCCTATCCTCTCTCAGTTTGAACACACTGACCCTTCACCTCCCTCCCTGGAGGACCATTGCAAAGAACACAACATCACTGCCTCAGCTCACGTTCATGAGAACTACTGTAAAAAGTAACTTGTGGAATCATTTAATGGAAAATGAAAACTTAGTTTCAATGTCTGCACACAGTGATATTACAGTCATTATATGCAATACTTACTTTAATATATTATTGTGAATGTCACGTTTGTGATTAAATTATCAATTACTTTTCTCTGCTGCTGACTTACAAAACAACATATGATATAACTCTACCACAGATAAAACGCCACAGTTTGACATTACACAAGACCATTACCATTGATGATGTTATGTAATATTGTGCTGTATGTCAAAAGATATAAACCTGTCATGGTATAGGACCCTCTTAAGTAGACACCATTTCATGCTACTGATGGCTATTGATGAAGTGAAGCTCAGCAAATCGACCTATTTTGGAAAATGGATAGTAAGGGGTAGATCCTTGCTGAGGTGGATAACCTGAGCTGTCGAGTTAAATGTTGGAGTGTCTCAGTAACAGGGAGAAGAGCCATGGAGGTAATATATCCTGAAACGTAGCACCTCTCTATTATCTCTATGTCCTATACTGCTAGAGTTTATAGAAGCAGTAAAGTGGTGATGCACAGGCTAGTCAGTGCAGAAACAGGTTAATTAGTGCTCTTCCACTCTGTTGTCCAGAGATAAGAGCCTACAAATCCTCTTAAGAGACAGACACATAGCCTGAGCTACACGCAATATGTATGACATTCTGGGACAAATGTGTTATTATGAACTTGTCTAAAGACATCCACTCCCCCCCGGTTACACCGCTTTCTATAAATGGTCTACGTCGTCCATTGTGGTGGAATTTGCCATGCTTTCCACCACTGATAATTCTCATAGCAATAGAAAACTAGTTTTCTTCATAGTTAACCTGCTTGCTAACACTTACAGCCCTGAAGGATTGGTGAAAGTGAAAGCATCAGATGTGAGGGAGTGAGTGATACTTTTCCCTGAGTTAGTAAAGGATACAATTCTTTTCAGTGATGAAGAGTTCTGCAATCTGTAAAGCACAGAAAAACAACCAAGGGACATGGTTAAATATTAAATATTTCATTGATGATGTCGTGGGTCTGTCAAAACAAGTAATTCTACTCTCCTCGCAGCACCATTGGCCTGGTCAACATCAAGCCAGATGTTCCAAAGTTCTGGAGCAAAGGCTTTGTTTTGACATCAGGGACATTCCTCCCGGTATTACTAAACAGAATTAAAATTAGCCTCGCCTTTGTAGGAGGGCCTTGTAAAGCACCCCGATATGTAATCTGCTAAGAATTTAGCCTGGCTACACAGTGGCAAAACATAATGCCTGTGAGCTCAAAAATAGCAAAACACAGCCCACACAAAAGGGGACAGACATGGACTGGATACTACAGTATTTTTAACAATGTGAGCCGTCTAATAACCCCGTTACTATTCACTAGGGCTGCATCCGATACTTCATCTAGCAGCATGCACACTATGAGTCCCAGTGACACTGATATGCTCTAACAGTGTCAACACAAGCACTCATGATGAACTGTTAGATTTGACATTGGTGTTGCTGATATCAAGGTTGAATGTGTCCTGTGTGCTGAGGTGTGTGATCATTTATGATGCTCTGAAGGAGAAGTGATACAAATGTGTGTATACAGCTGTGCAAATACATGATACAGCAAATTTTTAGAAGCATGTTGAATGAATAAGCACACACATGTTGGTATGTGTGTGAAAGTATAGGAGAGAGATACATAAATGTTATGAGTGTGAGAGAGTGTGTGTGTGCCTGTGTCTTTAGGCATCTGGCTCACCTGGTGTAGGCAGTTAGGCAGAGAGGTGAAGCTCTGCACATGGGTCAGTCCCAACAGGCAGCTGAGGAAGCAGTGGAGGGCGGCCTGGTACTCCCCCTGCTGCTGGAGCTGCTGTCCCAGCTCAAACAGGCCCTCCCTCCCCCCGTTCAACATCCCCAGTCCCAGCCAGGGCCAGTACTGCTACCCATCAGAACTCCACCGGCCGAGGACGTTCCTCTCTTCGCCACTCCACTGAAGCACCACAGGTAGAAAGAAACAGCCACACACAGAGTGAAGGATTTAAAAAAAATTGCAGCTGCTCACATAAACACACACAGAGAGGTGCCAGAGGGAGGAGCAAGCAGCACAGTTTCCACTCAGTCTCGTCTGAGCATGGTAAGTCAAGGACAGGTGGTAAGGAGCAGGCTGAGGTAGCTCCGGCGACTCACACAGAAAAGATCCATTCCCCTCCCTCCTCCCAGGCTGCGCCAGGAAAGGAGGACAGAGGAAGTGGGAGAGTGTTTGCTGTTTGAGTGGCAGAGCTGTTGACCAATCCGTGCTCTGCTCATGTACAGTAGCTCCGCCAGCGTGTTTAGCACATTGGGTCTCTCTCAATACTTGAAAAGGGAGATTGCAATGCTTTAGGCGTTGATGACAAAAACCATAGTTTGCACGTTCTATGAAGTATACCTAAATGTAGTATCTAATGAGTTTTAAATTTCATACAGTATTTTGACCTAATTGTTCCTACTACTGTACATTCACAGGGCAGTACATTATGTATATCTAATATATGCCAGTGTGTAAGAGATAGTCTTTCAGCCCCACTCATGATTTATAAATGAGCATTAGAATTATGAACAAGCAAACTAGAATAAATGATGTGTGAGCATGTTTCACATTACAACAGAAAAACCAAATTCTCTCAAGCAGACAGCGGATACAAACATTCATTCTGAACAGCCACTGTGCTGTATGAGAGAAAGAGAGAGAGAAAGAGAGAGAGAAAGCCCTCCTCACTATCCAAACAAGGACAACAAATATTTATCCACAAGGAGGGCCACCCCTGGATGTTTGCTCACTTCCATTTACACTCTGCTAATCATGTGAGGCCAATCTGTGCCCGAGGAGAGAGAGAGGGAAAGGAGAAGAAGAGATATGGCCACAGCACTTGATCCACGGATGATCCAGAGGATCATGAATAGGTCTTGACTTTGAGAGCAGCTATCCCCCCCACCTTCGCTCTGTTTGGACACAAGCATTTTAGTTGGAGGAAATGAATGGGCTAGCACAAAGCAAATGGGCAGAGTCAGTCTCCATTAGTGTCAGACGCACCTAGCTAAGCAAGATGGGATTTTAATGGCTCTGAATGCCAGTGGACCAGAGAACAGTAAATGTGCAGTGGCAGGTCAGACTCAGGGAACTGTGAACAGTGCTCTTTGGACGAACAGCATCTAAAGCAGTCGTGGGACTTTTAGTATGCTGATGCAGGGCGCTATATCCCCTCCACCCGAAGAACTGGGGAACATAGGCAGTTGATTCTGCTCACTTTACTGCATTGTCAATAGTGTTGAGTTAGAATGCAGCAAGGAAGTAAGCAAAGATGTGAATCTGATGGGCCCTACAACTCATTTGATGTGAATGAGTTAGAGGGCCCACTGGCTGACTCAGTGTTCAGTCCTAATTGAAAAAGAGTGGGTTCCATCTCCTCATTACAGGCCAGTCAAGCTGAACAGACACACATCAGCTGTGAGGAAGCGGTACTGAATGTTCTTGTCTTCATGTTAACAACATTTGACAACAACCATGCAACAGGAAACCCAAGCAGGACTGTAACCCTTTTAAACTGAAAATGTGTCAACCACATAATACACAGTATCACATCTGTTATAATGACAATATGTGTACTAAGAATAAATGTTACAAAAAGTAAACACAAATAAGTAAGTACATAAACCAATTACTGCAATTACTGTAATAAATGGTGGCACAGTTTATCTTTACATTACTTCAGTCAATAATTTAATTTTTAAAGCAGATACTGTTTTTATGTCTTGGGATAATTTTATTATCTGTGAATGCACCCACTTCTTTAGTGTGTCTGAACTGTTCTGATATTGCAAATGTTTATTTTTCCATAAATGGAGATGGACGGCCAAGTAGTTTGGGAACTCACTCTTAAGTAGCTGCTGTCACAAGGTGACCATTTCAAGAGTTTCCCTTTTTCCACGGAGATATTTGCACTTCCAACTTTCTCGGATGCAGGTGAGTTGTAAAGTTTCTAAACTTTCTAAAAACAAACATTTATTGGGCATGTACACTGAACACATATGTGCCTATTTCTCTGTCAGAATCTGTGTTAGTGGCCTTTTATTGTGGCCAGCCTCTTGATAGGCCACACCTGTGAGGTGGATGGATTATCTCGGCAAAGGACAAGTGCTCACTAACCCAGATTTTTGACAGATTTGTGAACATATGAGAGAATGAGAACAGATTTGTGAACATATGAGAGAATGAGTGAAATAGGCCTGAATTTTGTTCAGTATAAATTGTAAAACTATGTAAAACAAAATACACCAGTGTATGTAGGTACATACATACAAGGTATATGCATACAAGTTTACATTACATCCAATCATGCAGGTGAAAGGTCAAAGCTATCCACTGTCTATAGCACATGACACAGACAATTTTTCTTTAGGTAGCTCTTGGCTCAGATCACTTCTGACTTCAGTGTTGATATTCATTCGAGATAGTCTCCATGAATCCATTGCAAATTCATTGGTATTGTATAACACATTTTAGCAGTGGCGAAGATTTACATTTTACCAACCATCATCTGGTTTTGTAACATTTTAATAAAGAATTGTTGCTTGGAAGATTGACTAATTTGACGTACTGACACCGCAAAGCTGTAGGTCATTTGCTCACATCTTGCTCCAGAGACCTTTTTTGTGGATATACTGCCAATCATTTTGACAAAGATATTGACTGATGGTCACTATTCTACAGTGGAAGAATGGAAATCTACCTGTAATTGGAATATTGATTGCCTGTCTTGTGGAGTTGGTGGACAAATACATCAGTATGATCAGTAAACACTCACTCCACAGCACCTGTTCCCAGGGAAGCCAATACACCAGACTAATGTGAATGAATGGCGAGTAATCCCTGCAGCAGAATGCAGAGTAGAACGAAACATTGACTTATCCATAGATATAAATTCAACATTAGCAGGTTATTGCAATGCAGTAAACCTCAGTCTATTCAATTAGTGATAATGCTTGTGTAATCAATATTTACACAGTTGTACCAGTACATCCTTCAGCTGGTGTAAATATCACAGTATAGCCCCCGTAAATAAGTAACTAGTAAGTATGTAACTAGATATGCAGCAACTACAAAATCTTATCAGCAGGTTAAAAATCAAATGAGGTCTTTTGTTTAACTCCACAGCTCCAGTTTTGCGAGAGTTTTGCAGAATCTGATATTGATATTTACCATATGGTCTTAAATCTTGAGGAGTCTTTCATAAACCATTTGTTCCAATAATGAATTTTGCATTGTCCAGCAGGTTTGCAGAGGAACATTGCTTCTCTTGCGTCCCTGTGTCATTTCACAACACTGCGCATGGCACCTACATCAGCATATACTATTTATATTTCCTCCATTGTGCTACTCTATGCAATTTTGCTATAGCCTAGAGGCCTCTGGTATGGAATATTTTACTCTGCGTGAGTGACAGTGGCTGCGTCCCTTGCTACAGTATGCCAACTCCAGTGATGTGAAGAGAAGATCAAGTACTCTTCTACACGTATCATGCGGGACTGAGTCTACAGACGTAAAAGTTGAAAAAATAAATCCCACCATATGCACTGTTACAGACATGAAACCATGCATCCTTGTTAAGATACACGTATTGTGTGCCTGTACTCTGGATGTTGGAGTCTCTAGTCTTGGCCGACTGTTTAAAGCCTCCACTCTCCTGCCTGTGAAGCTGCAGCCCTCAAAGATTCAGGCTCTGGCACTTTAATAGGCTTGGACCAAGCACCCCAGCTACTGAAAGGCAGTTTATGACCTCCATGTAATCAGCAGTAAATGCTGCCACCATCTGTCTCTTTTTACTCAATTATCTGACTGAGTGACTTTTACTGACAAACACTGTCCAGGTAAACACAGTAACGTAAATCCCCCAGCTAAGATTATGACACATCTATACATCATCCTACACTCTTTATGATTTCTTTTGGGTCAGTTCTTGTTCTTGCAATGCTTTGAATGTAATCACTGTCCTTCAGTTCTGAGCAGAAAATTCTAATATGATTCTCCATAGATCCTGTACTATTACATCTGTGAGGCTATTATTACTTGAATCCTCATTACTGCTTCATTGTGAAAGTCACATCCATCCATCCATCCATCGTCAACCGCTTATCCTGCGTACAGGGTCGCTGGGGGGCTGGAGCCTATCCCAGCTGACATTGGGCGAAAGGCGGGGTACACCCTGGCCAGGTTGCCAGTCCATCGCAGTGTGAAAGTCACATACAATATATATATTCTACACCCTCAGCATGACTAACACTGTGAGCCTAGAGCTTTATTTAAAAGTCCTTAATGAAAACAGCCTCCTAACTAGGTTTATAATGATTCATCACACTATGTTAAAGTCAATTTATTAAGAACTGTTGATTAAAGGGGGCTGACAATCTTTTGCTCCACTCTTCCACCCCCTAGTGGACATTTCATAGATGATCTTGAATAGTGTTGAAATGTATTTCAAAAAAGCTTTGCCAAGCATGGTGAAATAATGTGCATCTCTGCAGTTAAAGAACTGTCCCATTTATGTACGTTTTTTAACATACTTTACATACACCACTGCATATACAGTGAAAGTACTGTGTCTTTATTCATGCAAGAAAACAAACTCTGTCAACATTACATTTACATTTATTCATTTAGCAGACGCTTTTATCCAAAGCAACTTACAAGTAAGTCAGAGGTCGCACGCCTCTGGACACCACAAGCATCTAGGTTAGTTTATGTGAGTGAAACAGGTAAAAATGTAATCACCTGAGACAAGTGATTAGTGCCCTAATCCTTGTAGATCCAGGGTCATCTGCTGGGAAAAATAGAGTCAGAGTTTGTTTTCTCTGTTAGCTGAAAGACAACAGCAAGTGTCAGACGACAGAATTTACTTTGCACTATTAAACTGATATGTTTTTGACAATTACATACTTATAAGTCACGTGTGACAGCCACTCAGATCTGACTGCACCTTCTCCAATTCGTTCTGTGATACTTACTGATCTGTCATATTTATTTAGGTGCTTCTACTCAAAGTTCTTTTTTCTATTCTTATCCCTTTCTCTCAGTCCTTTTAAATGCTCATGAGACATGAAGCCAGAGTGCAAGATATGAACAGTGAAACTTACAGCTGCTTACTCGTTCTAACAGGGATATCAAG